AGAGGGAGAGGGAGAGGGAGAGGGAGAGGGAGAGGGAGAGGGAGAGGGAGGGAGAGAGAAACATCCCACATGCACCTGACCAGAGATTGAACCCACAACCAGGGTATGTGCCCCGACCAGAAATCAAACCCACCACTGTTTGGTGTACAGGACTATGCTCCAACCAACTGAGCCACACTCACCAGGGCTGCATTTTTACTTTTCATTAGAGTATAATATGTGTGCCAGACATGCACATATCTTGAGTGTACAACTCCTTTAATTTCCAAACAGGACACAGCCCTATAGCCAGTATCTGGATCATGAACTAGAACATTGCCAGTACCCCAGAGCCCTCATTTAAACTCTCTTCAATCAAGCCTCCTCGACCCCTGAGTGTCCACTAACCTGATACAGAGCACGGATGGATTTTGCCTGGTTCTATTCTTTAAATAAATGTACTCCTATATCGCTGGCTTCCACTGTAAAGCTGTGTTTTTGAGCCACATCTCCTTTTGCTGTGTGCCTCTGTCTTTCTGTAAAGTACATGGCATTTATCCATTTAAATGTGGATGCGCATTTGAGTTGCTTGCAGTCTTTGGCTCACACAAACTGACTATTCTAGTCCATGATTTCTGGTGACCATATGTATGTATTCCTGTTGATATATGCCTGTAAGTGTTATTGATGGTCACAGAGTTACACATTTATGCTTACCTTTACTTAATATTATCAACTATTTTTGCTGAGTCGTTGTACCAACTTATTCTTGAACCAGGAGTTTATAGAAGTACCCATGGTTTCATATCCTTGCCAACGCTCAGTATTTTATGTCTTTCTCCTTTTAGCATAATATCGAGCATATAGAATTATCACTTTGTCATTTTAATTTTTACTTTCCTGATGTATGTTAACTTTTCTCATGTTTATTGGTGATTGAGATATCCGTTGCTATATGTAGTCTTTTCTAGCCTTTTCCCCATACTACTATTAATGGATAGTTCATGTACTTTGGATAAGAAAAAATGGGTATAAATGTAGATATATACTTTTATATATATAT